GTAAAATGAACCTAAGTTTTGGACTCAAGAGCGATGTACTCAATCAGAGAACTACTGGAATTCTCTGAGTCTCAACTTCTATGTAAATCAAGGACAACACCATTGCCAGTCTCAAGGAATTATCTTATGATGGTATTCCCAGCATGGAGCTTAATGTGGAACGTATTCCAGAAATTACTGGTTCCCTCTCATGGAAGAAAGCACTATGGACTAAGACAATGTAAATGATTTCAGCTAAAATCATGGTAACATAACTGCACAGAAAAAAAAATGACCATTTTTTTCAAAAAAGACTTAGAAAAATCAGACTGCAAGTTAATGGTAACACCCACTTTTTAAGCATAATTAAGACATGTTTCAAAGTAAGTAGATTAAAATCTGCGGAGACCAGGAATGGTTAGTCCCTAAACAGAGCAGGGAGTCCCGCTACATCTGAAGGGCCTTGGAGAAATCACCACTCCTCCAGCAATAGAGAGTCGGCTCCATCTCAGGAGGCAGAACTAGGTTTCTTCAGGTAACTCAGAGCTCTTAAAAGCTCACTTGGGGTTTCCTTTATCTTTTGCAACTGCTGGGGTTTGATGTAGTGAGGAAGAATAGCTTTTAATTATGGCTTTGGATTGTGCCTCTTAAAACCTTGGTCAGGCATATTATGAGTTGGTGACAGTGCCAAGCTGGCTTTTTACTCACATTAACACATACAATAATGTCTTGGTAACCTTCACTGAAATGCACTGAACCCTGAGTGGGATTTGGGGAGAAACTCATTTTGGCTGTTGCTGTTTGATGTAAGCCAGCACAATCCTGTCCTTTAGTGAACATTTTATTCCTCTAAGGTGCGTCCTGACCACAGATGTCATATCTGGCTTCTGCAGTTGTATTTTAACATCACTCCACAATGACCAGATAAGCAAATGTCTCTAAAAGTTTCTCAAAGCTGTGCTGCCAGGCTGCCAACACAGAGATCTTCCTCTCTCCTATTCAGGTCTGAAAGGCTGAAAATGTGAAGAGAGGATGGAGCACAGAGGGAGAAAGAGAGAAAGGACACTTGTACTGATGGGAGATAAGGAAGCTTTAAGAGCAGACACCCTTTGTAGGTCCCAGCTTGGTCAGTGAAAGGAGATGTCACTCAAAAGTGTGCCTGGGCTCTGCTAAATGACTCCCCTGTATCCAAGCTTATATTTTTCCTAGAATCTTAATTTTATCATATGCAAAAATTAAATAATTAAATACTTATCAGTATGCTAAGTATTCTGTGTACATAAAAACATTTGCATTGGCTCAAATAGATATTGCTCCATAGAAGATTTGCAGATGGTCAACAAGAACGTAAAAAAATACTATTAACCATTATTAGGAAAATGCAAAGGAAAAGCACAATGAGAAATCACTTTATACTCAGTAGGACGGTTGTAATATAAAAAAAAAAATGAGGGGAAAAGACGGTTGGGGTGGATGTGGAGAAATCCCTTGTGGGTGGGAGTACACAGTGCTGCCAGCTGCTGTGAAAAACCGTTTAGTTTTTTCCTCCAAAACCAAACATAGAATTACCACATGACCCAGCAATTCAACTTCTAGGTATATAATCTCAAAATTGAAAACAGGTAATCAAACAAATACTTGCACACAAAATGTTCATAGTAGCACTATTAACAGGAGCCCAGAGCGCATTGGCTGGAATCCTAGTACCTCCAGACAGAGCCGGATGGAGCTCGCCCTCCCTCTGAAGCCACAGTGAATTAGCCAGGAACAAAAACTGGTTTGGAAGCGGTCAGCACCCTCCTTCACCCTGCTCCCAGCCACGGAATCTTCCTATTGTATTTCGTTTCACAGGGACTGAGGCTGTGTGTGATAAAGGGAGAAACCCAGGGAAGAAACCTGAAAGAAAATTCCTGGAAAAACAGGTGTGAGGAGCTGAGCTCAGCTCTCCTTATTCTCTTTTGCAGAAGGGTGTCTCAACAAAGATGTACCATTAAGGTCTCTGCTTTGGTTTTTCTGTGGGGAGAGCTATGTAAGTGATAAGTAGAAAAAGTCTTCAGTGGGTAGAAGGATTTTTGTGGGGAGTTAGCTATATAACCAAGTCAACAAAATGCTATTTTGTTTTCTAAACATTCCTGTTCACCTTCATTTCCACACCCTACATCAGACTCACTTCATCTCTATTTAAAAATTCTGAGTGGATCCCGAGTGGTTACTGGAAGAGGTCAAAAAGGTCAAATGTCTATGTCTAGCTTTCAGGGTGGTCCATGATGTTTTAGACTCATTTTCTAAGACTATGTGAAGTCAGATTAGATTTTTTTTCCCCTACCTTTAAAAGAAATGATGTTTGGTAATACTAGTTACTTTACATACATTATCTCATTTAAATTTCACAGGGTTCAACAGGAAGTTATTATACCAAAGAGAAGACTGAGGCTAGAGAGGATAAATTACACACATAAATGGTGAAGGCCAGGGTCAAGATTGGGACCTCAGTCCGCTAAGTGCGCAAACCCACGCTTTCAGCTATCAGTCTTGAGCTTGCCTTTTCTCTCCTGTCTTTATATCATCTGTTCCTGCAGGTTATATCTAATGCCAATCCCAAGAATGATTTTCTATACTCGTTTCTGCTTTTCCCTAACAAATGTTCCTAACTCTCTGGGTTGGAAGCATTGTCTTCTAAACTCAAATAAAAGAGCAAAGATTTTCTGTCTGTGGTTGGCATAACTTTGAAATAGTTCTACTCGCCATGCTGCTGATCCCATAACAATACTCAGGAGAGTAGGGACCATATCGAATATTTGTATCTTTGACCTTGTCTAGTACTATATCTTGTTCACAATGAGTGTTCAATAATTATTTGTTCAATAATTCTTATAGATTACCTGCCAGGGTAATGATATTGTTATATAGACTTGTTCGTAAAATTCTTCATAAGATTAGATTTTACCTCTTTAATCTTTTACTAAATGTACTTTTTCAATGTCTTGGGAGCATTTAAATAAACAGGTTGAACATTAGGAAAATATTCCTCATTTTAACATATGACTAATGTGCTTGAAATATTAAGTGCTAAAACTTATTTTTATCTAAGTGCTTACTTGAACCAACATTGATACTAAAGGGAAAAGAAATTATGGTATGTAAATCTGTTACTTGAAATCTCTTATTCTCATGAGTTTCATGATAGGTCCATATAGAGGAATTAATTTACAGGAATAGTCAGCATAATTGCTAAAAAAATGCAAGCAGGAACTACTGTGCACTTTTTCTTTGTGTGACTTCTGCATATTTCAATATTCAGTTTATTGCCTTTAAGGTTTTCAAATTCACCAGCTGTAAGAACACCTATCAGATTCTAGAATGCAGCACTAAAAATAAACCAATGTTATTGAAAATAAATGAATCAGCACATTCGTAGCAGAAGTGTTTTCTCATGTGACTCATGCTACTTAACTAACTTTTTCTTTGTGATTGTTCATTTATCATATCAAAGTTTCTTTGGGCATCTGCATCTTCACAAAAGCACAGTTTTGTTGAAAAAGTTTAGTAGAAAACAAAAGAACCCATCTCTTATCTGGTGTTATAAAAACATAACACAGTGACCAGGGGTCAGTCAATACGGATTTAGCTAAAAACCTTTCTTCATTTTTTTAAGACATCGAGAAAGCTCTATAATTTTCAGTATTGGTATAGTTTGTTTACCATTATAATTTCACTTAGTAGAGCTCATAATTCTAAACTTCACAAAGCCCTTGTGTTTAGCTTAGATCAGAGGATATTCTCCATAGAGCTCATCTTGAAATCACTTGGAGTCCAAAGTGTCTATGCAAAACCATTAATCTCAGAATGTGTCTAAACACCAACCTTGAGACAGGCTGCAATTTACTGTTCTCTGTGACAGACAAATAGCTAGGGGAGCTCTGTCATTTAACCCCAATGCTTTCTTTGGTAGTTTTTGGAAAGAAAGGTTTTTTTTTTTTTTTTTTTTTTTTTTTAATACTGCCCTGTCATAAAAAGACTACAAAATCTGTCAACACAGTCTAACTTACATATAACAATAATAATATGCATAGATATGTTAGTCACCCCATGAAAAATAAACAAGATAGTCTCTAAATCAATATAATTCTCAAAGAATCATCATGGAGATTCATTGATTGATTTTATAACTAAAATAGAATATATATGTATATATATTTATAGATCTATTTATTCTATTTTGACATGGATGCTATTGGCCATATCTTTACCCTCTCTATACGAATGTCAAATTTAAAGAAATCTGTTTTATAAGGACTGGACTTGTCCTCTTTATAGGCACTCAGATAGCCTTATAATAGACTGAGTTTAAGTGACTATTTAGGTTATGTATATTTTACAAAATATGAAACACATACAAGCAAGTTATCCTGAAAGTCTGGCCTATGTTAAGAGATGAAAGCAAATATATCCTGAGAGGACTGATAAAGTGGGTTGAAAAGATAATCCCTGACATGTTCACCCTGGAGTATGTACAGATTTTAGTAATTTTCTAAAAAATAAAAAGCTCCAACAATCAAATATTTAATTTTCAATTTTAATTTTTTACTATAAGAGTCACAATAGATATCAGGAGGAGGTAAGACAGTCCCCCACTGATTTCCCCTATGCCAATTACTCAGTAAATGAAAACAGACATTTCAGGGAACATTTTATAAAATATTTGGAGGAGGGTAGAAGCCCATTAAACTCTCATTCATCACATATTATAATAGAATCTATTTGTATAGTAGGGAGGTAAACAAAACTAGGTCTAAGGTGATAAGCCAGAAACACACATACACATATTTTGGACACATTAAAAATAACTTTCAGGATTTTTTTTAATGCCCGAAGCACAAGAAGATAGAAAAATGAGCATTTAGATGGAGTGGATGCCAAGTAACCTGAGACTATTTCTGTGCCAGCTACAAGTCTTGCACACACCACTGATATGACCACTTTCCATCGTTGCATCATAATTGTTCATTTGGAACCTACTTCCCCACCAGTGGTAATTTGAAATCTGTGCAAGGAACTAGTAGGGGTGGCCGAGGTAAGTCAAAGGCTAAAAACTTAGCTCCAACACCATTTCAAATTGTTCCCTGTTTTCCTTGAAAAAGTTCTGGCCAGTAACTCAGAACAGCCCAAGTGTAGAAATTTCATTGAAAATGATAATTTTACTGAATCATGCCTGTGCAACTTGATCTGGCAAGTTTCACCTGATAGACCAAATGTGAACTAAATCTTGAACTATCTGAGCCAGGTGACATATAGAAATATATAACAAATTTATTGGACTTCTAAATAGAAAGCCAACTTGAGTGAATTTCAGTATCACAACCCCACCCATGGCTGTTCAAGCAATGTAGACTTCCTCATTTCTAGATGTATGTGGCCTATAATATTTCAAGTCATTGGTGATTTCAATTCTATTGCATTAACATAACAATTCTATTAACATTAGAAATATTCTTTTGGGCCTTGTGTGGTGGCGCAAGCCTCTAATTCCAGCAGCTCAGAAGGCTGAGTCAGGAGGATCACAAGTTCAAAGCCAGTCTCAGCAATTTAATGAAGTCCTAGTTAACTCAGTGAGACCCTGTCTCTAAATGAAATACAAAATAGGGCTGGGAATGTGGCTCAGTGGTTGAGTGCCCCTGAGTTCAATCCCTGGTACCTGCCCCCTGCCAAAAAAAGAAATATTCATTCTCTTAGCTTTATGGGATTTCAAAACTCATCCCTGATTTATGTATATTTCTGTTTGTGTATGTGTGTGGAAATATGTTTGGAAAATACCATAGTCCTTATATTAGGGATATTTTTCTCAAAAGAAATGAGTATATGTAAATACAGTATCTTATCATTTTAGTGGAGATTCTCTTCCAAAAGGACATCAAAGCTTTTGTTCCTATTTTATGCAAAATTACCTTTATACTTGTTTTAGAAATGTTATTGAAATTTCAAAGTTATGTTGGCACACACACAAAAAAAGAATGTGGTAATCGATTTTGAATGTGCATTTTGGTAAAAACTGATTAGAAATTTGGACCTTGGTTTTCTTTCAGAAATAGGGTGCCTTTCAAACACAGTAACAATTCAATTTTTTTTATAAAGGCAAGGCAAAGCTTAAAGCTAATATAATAATAAGTATATCAAAGTTTATTGTTGTTTGAAAATCAAGGGGATCATAAGTTGTTGGAATACAGATTAAAATTGTATCTGCAGCATGATGACTGTGGTGTTTTGTTTATAAAACAGATTACAGTTTTGTGTCCCTGTTGCTGATGTGAGGAAACATCCCTGCATACACTTCTCATGTCTTTATGTCTATTTCTTCTTAATCCTGCCCCCAGACACCGGCCGCTGTTATTGGTACCATTTCTGGTCTCTTTCCACTTAACCATCTCTATATTGCCAGAAAAAAAGCATGGAAGAGCTGTGATTATATCCTCAAAATTTTTAGCTTCTTTAGAAATAGCAAAAACTGATTTCAAATTTCTTTCATCTGCTTTTATTATACTCTAGAGCACTTTACCAATTATTTTATTTCTTCAAAGATTAAAACGTTTTCCTTCATAAGTAGTAGGGAAAATTTTAATAATCACAGATGAGGAACTTTAAATAATTTCTTAGGGAATAAAACTAACTAAAAATCAGTTTGATAAAATCACTGATTTACTTTGTAGAGGTTTATATACAACTGAAGAGGTAAATCACAGATATGCAAAGGTATTATAAGTACTTATCATTTTTACTATTATTTCCCTTTCTTTAAATAAAAAGACACAAGAGCACATTTGCTAATGAACTTGATATTTCAGGTTAAGGAACTTTCTTTTATCTATGGGGCCAGTTTCACTGTGTCACAGGTGAGAATCTAAAAACTAAACTTGTATTTATTAACTATATTTAACGAGTTGCTAAGTTGGGTGAGAAAATATAGGGCAAAAAGTAGGAACCCCAAATATTAGTTTTTTTTGACCTTTTACAAAGTTTTACATTTTCTAGAAGTGTACTTCGCATGTCCTCAGAGACAATGGATAGCTTCAGGATAGAAACAAATCATATCTCTTGATGCTCATATACAACAAATGGGTAGCCATACAACCATCTATAGCCTCAGAAGTCACCCTATGTGGAGATAAAATGAAATGTATTCCAGTGAAGTTGTATTCTTGTCTTAAAACAAACACGGACCAACCAACCTAAACATCCACCCTATTTTATGGTTTAAGAAGTTCATGGAAATTATTTGTGAGAGGTATTCCTTTCCCACAAAATTAAGAATTAGAAAAACCTCAAGTTCTTATAACCCCTTCTCTAACTTTACTATGCCTGCAATACAATCCTACACTCTAGTTAAGATGACTTTTAGATATTTAACACAGTCAGTGACATCCATATCTTTAAAAACTGATTTTTTTTTTTTTAAAAAAAGGTTAACCTGCTCCATCTCTTAAAACTTGAGGCCTTTATCTAGGATACAAAGGTGCTAAATTTCTTGGCAGAAATCCTCCAAGGGGATTTTGAACTTGTCTTAGATTCCTTTGCGGTAAAGAGTCCTTCTCATTATTTTGAACATTATGCCAAACTGTCTGATTACTTAATGAGGCTAGTTGGTGTGCAGGTAGAGAGGGACCCACATGACCAACCAGAGGTCAAATGAGAGGTTTGGGTCTAGGTAGAGACAATTTTCTTTCTTTTATGCGGCCTCTCTCAATTTCAGTTTTCTCTCCATGTCTCGGTGTCCATCTCTGCTTTTCTCAGCAACATCTCTGCTTTAACCTTAAAATATCTGAATCCTCCAGCGTTCATTTTTAGTGCCTGAGGGTCCACGCTTTAATCTCCTTCAGGATCCGGTCTTCCTCTAAACACTTATCATCCAATGCATCGTACAAAGAGAATTCCCAGCGGTAGATTTTGAAATGAAAGATGAAGTGTGGAGCATCTGAGCGTTTCCAGGTGCTGGTGTCAGTATCTGGGATGCCTCCTGTTGACAATGATGGCTATGACTGGGGGCATCCGCCATCTCTCTATTCTGAACAGTCTTCAGAAATCAGCCGTCTCTGATTGTTCTTTCAGATCAAACGAAATAGGAAGACAAAGTAAGCTGAGCATATTCTTTCACTCTGCACTTTGTTGTTAAAAGGGGGAGGAATCTCGCCAGGACCCCTAACTCTGTTTTAGATATCACCAAACTTTTATAAGAATTCTTCTTCTTCTCCCCCAGCTCCTATATTACCCCCCACCCCCTGACCCCCATCACCTCCTTCTTACTCTTCCTTTACTGATTGTGTTGAATGAATGTTTCTTTGCTCCTTGAAGGACTGCTCTGTACTACTAAGTGTTAGCTGTGGACAACACCAAGGCAGACCACAGATAAACTGTACTGAAGGACATTGGCTGTTTTCAGAGAATATGGCATGTAGCTCTCTGCCTTAAGCTCCAAATGGGACAATTTCCCCTTCTTGAAATGAAAACTTGCAAACTTTCCAATCTCATTCGTGGAACTCATGATGCTGGAGTCTTTTTAAAGGTGACATATCCTAGGTAAAATACAAAGCGTTTTAGTTTGCTCTTTGGAAATGGACAGATAAGAAGGTCGCTCTTCTAAGCCACCGACTTTAGCAGGAGTGAATTCTTTTGCTGATAATTCTGAAGAAAGAGGATGTGGCAAAATGACTGCCATTGAAAACAGCAAGGAAAATAACAGTGTAGTTGCCATGTTTCTTAAAAATGTATTTCTTGTTGGACACAGGAAGTCATTTTCCATCAAATTGTAACGTGACATAATGTATAACATGTCAAAGACATTGTTAAAAAACAAACAAATTGGAATTGAGCTGTGTACAGTTAGTCTTAGATCTCTCAGTCAGTTTCACACATTAAGATGGTCAAACATGCAGAGCTTATAAATTTGGTTAGAGAGGTTTTTGGAGAATTTCACGAAACTCAGTGGGGTTTTAGTAGGGATACTGACATTTACCACTGAGTTCTTTAATGACAGCTAAACAAGAGAACACCAGTCCTAATTTATTCAAGCAGAATTCAATATCATAATAGGACAATTGCAGAACACTGTTTTTCCACAAAACCATTTTTTTTGTGCTTTGATTTTTAACCCTTATTTACCAGTGACTTTAATTTACTTCCCAAGACAGTTTCCTTATGCTGATCATGAGTTGTTTTATATAAACAGCATTTTTTTTTTTTTGGTGCTGAGGATTGAATCCAGGGCCTTGTGCATGTGAAGCAAGCACACTACCAACTGAGCTATATCCCAGTCCTGTTATATATAGTTATTCCCCTTTCTCTAACACTTACTGCTTTCATATCATATATATTTATTTTTAAGTATGACACATGTCCCATTTGGCATTCCAATCTAAGTCATATGGTTGATAGCTCCTGCACAGCCACCTCTAGACTATATTCCTGTGATAACAGCCTATCATTTTCTGTTTCTTTCTTTCTTTCTTTTTTTTTTTTTTTTTTGCAGCACTGGGCATTGAACTCAGGGGTGCTCTACTACTGAGCTACATCCCCAGCTATTTTTATTTTTTATTTTGAGACAGGGTCCCACTAAGTTTCCTGGCCTGTCCTTGTACTTGAGATCCTCCATACCTCAACCTCCTGAACTGCTAGTTCACCTCAGGGTCTAGTAAGGCACATCACTTTTTAATTCTCAAGATGCCCTGGAGTTGTGCCATTTCTCTAGCAAAAACATCTGAAAAAATGATCAGACAGTTGGCACTGCTGCCTGCTGGAAGGAATATTAACTTGTTACTTCCATAAGGAAAGCGGCCCTGTCTCTGCTTGACCTGAGAGTCCATCCTATTAATCTACCTTTCAAAGGGCGGTAGTTTGGAGAAATTGACAGAAAGAGCCAAGGGTCACCAGTGTCTTGAGTGATCACTGCCAAAAGTGACTGTGATATGCACACGACCCTCAAGCAAGGAGAGATAAATGACCTTATTCGGAGGCGGAGAGAGCGAGACATATCACAAGAGGAACCTATAAGGTGCATGGAAAGGAAGGGACATGGTTATTCCTGAC